AACCTGGGAGACCTGCCCTCCCTGCCGGCACTGGTCGGCCAGATCCTTCTCATGGCGGACTTCAACAAGGATAGCAGGGTGTCCCTGGCGGAGGCCAAGTCGGTGTGGGCCCTGCTGCAGCGCAACGAATTCCTGCTGTTGCTGTCCCTTCAGGAGAAGGAGCACGCCTCCCGGCTGCTGGGCTACTGTGGGGACCTCTACCTCACCGAGGGGGTCCCCCGTGGCCCCTGGCATGGGGCCGGGCTGCCATCTGTCCTGCACCCGCTGCTGCCGTCCGCGCTGCACAGGGCCCTCCAGCAGTGGTTTGGGCCTGCATGGCCCTGGCGTGCCAAGATCGCCATTGGCCTGCTGGAGTTCGTGGAGGAGCTTTTCCATGGCTCCTATGGAACCTTCTACATGTGTGAGACCACACTGGCCAACGTGGGCTACACGGCTACCTACGACTTCAAGATGGCCGACCTACAGCAGGTGGCACCCGAGGCCACCGTGCGCCGCTTCCTGCAGGGCCGCCACTGTGAGCGGAGCTCGGACTGTACCTACGGGCGTGACTGCAGGGCCCCATGTGACCGGCTCATGAGGCAGTGCAAGGGTGACCTCATCCAGCCCAACCTGGCCAAGGTGTGTGAACTGCTGAGGGACTACCTGCTGCCCGGCGCCCCTGCAGACCTCCGTGAGGAGCTGGGCAGACAGCTGCGCACCTGCACCACGCTGAGCGGGCTGGCCAGCCAGGTGGAGGCTCACCATTCCTTGGTGCTCAGCCACCTCAAGACCCTGCTGTGGAGGAAGATCTCCAATACCAAGTACTCTTGACGTGGCAGGCCCTGGCCACTGCCATTTGCACCCTTCCTCAACACCTGGTTCCCGGGCTGTGGCTCCAGGTTCCAGCCAGCAGCCTCTACCCAGGCACTCGGAGATGTTGATTATCAGACTGCAAGTACCCTCCCCACCCTGCAGGTCCAGGACTCTCAGCGACCCAGTGGGGAGGGAGGGGCCTGGAGCCACCATCAGGGCCTGGCCCACTGGATTGTTACTGCAGAACCAAATGTAAATAAATGGCTTTTCTGTGATATCTGGGCACACAGGGTATGGGCTATCAAGCAGCGGATCCCTTGTTACACCTCGGTCTAAGTCACTTCTGGGAGCCAGACAGCGGAACACACTGAGGTGTCCACCACGGGCCTAGACTCCAACCTCTGGTCCTCAGAAATTTTACACAGCTGAAGATCCCATCCGTGGACTCCTGCACGCCGGGCACCCCAAGCAAGCCTTTCACCTTTAGCCAGTATGCTGGCGACAGCGGCCGGTTCAGTCTGGGCTGGAGCCAACCAGTACATAGTCATCTGCTTACCAGTGACACGGAGCATGGCTGTCCCACCCCCAGTGCAGCTTGGGGGCAATGCACTGTTTGGTGCAGAACACTGAACAAACTTTAGCTTTCCTGAAGCTAATTTGATCTCATCCTATATCTAAAATAACTTTTTCCTACCTGTATTTCAGATTCATTTTCCTGGGGAGATGAAGATTTTTATTTTTTTCAGACAGGGTCTCCTTGTAACCCCAGCTGGCTTGGAACCCACTCTGTAGACCAGGCTGGCCTTGAACTCAGACTGCAGGGGACTAAAGGCATGTGCCACCATGCCCAGCAAGATGAAGTTTTTAAGGGGGGGGGG